GCACGTTTACATTCACAGGCTGCAAATGACACTGGATAATGGGGGGGGGGGGGGGAATAAAAAGCCACAACGAAGTACCAGTAACATATTTTACTTCACCAAAGCATGAATGCAAAGAGAGAACTATGTGCAAATAGGTCTGTTGGCAAAGAAATAATGTACAAAACTGCAAAGGCAAGTGTTGTGCTAAGCTGAAAATGAAGCAAGGAGGCACATACAGAGCACTTGCCCTGAACTAAAAGCAGAGGCTCATCTGCTGCATGAACTGCCATGCAGGAACCTTATCCTGCAGGTTACAGAGTGGGAGGAGATCCCTCTCTCTTCCTTTCAGGCTTCAATATCAGCTTAAACAGTGGTCTCCCACTGTCAGTCCTCAAAGAGACATCTGAGTCTTGCCAGCAGAACACAGAACGTACTCCTACATAAAACATTCTTCCCAATTAGCCATTAATGCTGAGGCTTTAAAGTGTCCTGATACTCAACAGTTAAATGTTTCTTTAAAAAAAAAAAAAAAGAAGAAAACTTCAGTATGTATCACTGCAAGGGAAAAATACACACAAAAAAATCCTGTCTTTAACCTGGTAACCCCACTAGAATTTACAGTTTGTTACTCGGAGCTACTGAGCCAACTCCTGCCTTGTTCTGCTGTGTGAATTAAAAATAAATGTCAGAATGCACACAAGTATTTGACTCGGTACCAAACATAACTCTACAGCAGGATCCAGATCCACTGACCTTTGACTCAGCAACTGTAAACCAAATGTTTAAAGGCCACGGCAGCGTGGCAGGGGAAAACACAGGGCCCAGCAGGGTGGGACATGCAGCCTGGAAGCAGGCAGGGCACTAAGTGCCACCTATTGCAACCACCCACACAGCTGAGAAAGTGCATTGGCATTTGCCTCTCCTGCACAGACTGCGTGCTGAAGGATGCCAGGAAAACCTACAGGAACCTCCCTATTAATCATTTACATCTTTGGTGGAGAACAAGTAGCACAGAACAACAAGTTCCCGCAGTTGTGTTTAGCAGATCCGTGCCTCTCCTAGAGCCTCATGGTGAGGAACCCTTTCTCTGCCAAATGCATGTGATGTGAGACTGCCCACCAGCTCTATCTTCACAGATCAGTACCTATCAGATCACGGCTCTGGTGCTCGCGTTCTTTCAGAGCAGGCTCCTCATTTACCCAGCTCACATCTCCATGAAACTTGGAGGCTTGCTCTCCTCAGCTCCCTCTTCTGAAAGCACCCTGGCACGCCTGTCCTTCCTGCAGCCTGCTCCAAGATGGTATCGGGTGATCAAACAAAACCACCTCTGCAAACACACCTGGATTCCTGCCCCACCACAGCGACCTGCAGCAGCCTTCCCCTGGAGCTTTACCACATCTCACGGTGCAATGCAGGGAGTTTTCTCTCAAAAGCCCCTCTGTGCCCTCATATTTCAACCCGAATTTACTAAATCTACCCTTCTGCATAGATGCTGGGGCTCAACCCATACCTGCAAGCAAGCACGCTTACCACTATGCAAACCAAGCTGCCTGATAAATACAGTGTGAATCTCCAGAATAACCAACTGTGCTGGAGCTTCTGCTGCCAGTGCTGTGTGCTGCATTAAATCCTGCCATACGAGAAGCTGGGCATGGTGTCACGTATCCCCACCATTTACTGATGAGCTTTATTATGCAGTTGTGACTAATCTTTGGTACATTCTTCACATATAAGGTGACTACAGAACGTAGCCTTTTAATAGCATCTAATAAAATGGTTGCTCCTACATATAGAAACATTTATGGGAACAAGAACAACAGATACCTGGCGTGTTGTTCTTGCCAGAAATGCAAACATTACTTAAATAATATACTTACACTCATGATGCAGAAGTTATCCCATTATTTTAAGGCTAGGGAAATGAAAGACAGACTAAGAAACATCATTAATATTAGATGGTGGGCACAAGGGAAGCCAGTTTCCAGTCCATATCCAAACATTACAATTGCAGTGCCAGTGGGAGCTATACTTTGTTTATAGCTTGTAACAGTAACATCTGGTAACTTGTAACCTAGACTAACAATATATACTTATATTCCTGGGAGATCCGTGCCCCACAAGAAGCCTGTCAGAGCAAGTGTGCTGCTTTAAGCACAAAATGCACACATATGCAATAAACTTACTGCTTTTTAACTCCCATAACTGGCTCTAAAAACCTCCTGAAGTAGTAGAGCAAGTGCTCTAAGTTGTTCTCCTCTGACATGTGTGAATGTGCTATTTATTGCCCCGAAAAGTTTGAGAAGGACAGGGAAGATGGCAGACAACAAGCTGTACAGACACCAGTATCACAGTCTGTTCTCTCCCAGGAAGAAGGGGAAAGTGCCAAATCTCTTGTGCTGCTTCCTACTTGGAATCTTCTCTATCTGTGCTCTCTTCCTTCATATTTGTGATATATCTGTGGCAACAAACAGCTTCGTGCAGACATCCTCGTTAGCTCTACCTTCTATCTGGGAGTTGAGATGAAGCTATGTGAAAAATTCAGGGGATATCCAAAGCTTGCGAAACATTAAACAGTTGTGTAGTCATGTTTTGAGATCTATGCCAGTGAATTACAAAACAGATTGTAGGGAATATCTGAGTGAGCTGCACTGAATTTCATACTGCAGAATGACATGCTGTACCATTCAAATTCCATGCACAGAAGGCAACTTCTACCAAGTTTCAGATCAGTTATCCGCAGGAGCACACACAGAATCTTTTCAAGCTTTAGCTTTCATACCAACATCTCAATTTACAAGGATGTTCTTTGCAGCATCAGCTTTTAATCTGCAAGGGGTCATCAAGTCCCATTAGTATTATCTGCTAATTAGATGGTAACACCACTGTCAGCTGCCACAACACCCATATTTAGTTTGCTGCCCAAACAAAACACTTTGTGCTTGTTTGCCACAGAGCTTCCAAAGGCTGCTGAGCCAATCCCTGCACTTGGGCTACAGGCACGCCACGATGCTTGATGGCACCAGCGCTTATCCACAGTCTGGGCCTTCTGAATGTGATCCAGGTTACAAGAAACATCCTTCAAAAAGCAGCAGCTGGAGTACTAACAGGCTCCTCTCTTCCACAAGCACCACGCTTACAGCAATGCTTCTCTGCAGGTCTGACTTCTGGTGTGTCTGCAGGTATATCTGAACTTCACTGCAGCTGAGGGGTGTTAAGAAACATCCAAACATGCCTCAGCTAGATGAGGCACTTCAGCACAGTGCTCAGTATGGGCAAACTGCCCACCTGCTTCTGCTCCAGGGTGGTTCCTGCAGTCTGCACCAATGCTGGTCTGCTACTGCAGCCTGATTTGCCACTTTAAAGCTAAACCAAATCCTTCCCTGCACCCCAAAGCACGCACCTACATTTAATCTTCTCACATACACCTCTAGACTCCTTATTTCTTCCCTTGCCATCAAAACTTACTTCATTCGAGTAATAACATTGATTGTCATTGACCTTGCTACATCTCTTCTGTTCTTGCATTCCTTGGTGTGTTTAATGACATTTTTAAACCCCGCTGGTTCTCATCATTGGTCTGCCTGTGCCAATCTCTGCCTGTAGCCTCATCCTGATTCCTTTAACTTGCACAACTCCAAAATAAACCACTACTGTTTCCCGAAGTAGAGTTAACAACACTGAGTACAGCTCTGGTGCGCCAAGCACAACAGAAGCAGAACAAACTGCTTGTGCTTCACAGTCACTGGTGATGATTCCTACATCAGAGGCCCATGATTCTGCACATGCTGACTGCATAAAAACAACGAGCTCTTCCCAAGACTCTGCAGAGGGTTGTGTTTTACCAAATACAGTCCCCCTGCTTTGGTTACCAAGCTTTCCTCCTGCTCACAGCAGACCATTTTGGGCAATCACAATGCTCACCTCAGCTTGCAAGCAGAGAGCTACAGGAGGGCCAGGAGTCTTCCTTGCTATTTCTAATGAAGTGCCCGGAATCCATTTCCAGGATTCCACACATACAACCAGGCCACGGATCTCCAAGTTTAATATTAATGATTACAATAACCACCAGCGTCCTCTGTGAATAATTAAACCAGCTTCACTGAAACAAAGCCGTTGTCACAATCCCAAATTTCAGTCATTTTCTTTCCCGTGATCCACAAACACAGCAGCAGCGCTAGCTCCGCACAGACAAAGGATTCAGCCAAATATATTTTGCTCCAGGACCTGGGATCACCTATAAGAAAGCAGACGGGCCACCTGTCCCCCCTGCCCCATAGACGTACCTCTTTCTGCTGCCGCTCGAGTTCCTTCATTCGGATCTCCCGTGCCTCTGCCCGCGCTGCTCGCTTTGCTGCCAGCCTTGCTTCAGCCTGCGGATGGGAACACAGCAGTGAGACCAAAGGCACACAGCTCAACGTGAGGCACGCGCGCTCAGGGTGCCAAATACGGAGGCTAAGCTCCGTAAGGCTGTAAACACACCTGTAGGAGTTAATTCCCTACTGCTAGCAATGGCCCTGCCTTCCATAACTCGTTATGCTTCACCAGCAGGTAATACAGCCGAGCGTAGGCACCAACCCCAGTGAGCAGCTGCCTTGAGATGCGCCCTGTCTCTGTAATTACTATTTGTGCAGATAGAGAGGAAGTGCTGCAATGGAGGAAACAGTCAGGTTTATTTACTTATTTCAGAAAGGCAGGTCTGGCTTGTTTTTTTTGTTTGTGTTTTTTTTTTCCCTTCCCTGCGGTGCACATTATTTTTTTATTGATGAATTAATTAGACAAACAGCAAACACATTACGTGCCATTTTCCCTAAGAGCTGACACTGTGCACACGCAGGCACAGCAGCTCAGCACAACAACTGCACTCAGCCAAGGCTGGAACCATCCAGGCAAGGAAACAGGGAACCTGAGAAAACGCACCAGCTCAACTAGAGCATCCAGACAGTGGCATTTAAAATCCAAACCTCTCCGGAGTGGATGCCTGCCAAGCACGGGCCTCCCATGAGATCTATTAAGCTTCCTCATTTCATCGGGTTTGGAAGTGCCAGAACATGCTGCAAAGTAACTGTTTTAATTATCTGCTTTTTAATACCAGGCAAAAACAGGAAGCCTCATGTGCAAAGTCAGCTCGGGCTCTGTGCAGTGGGAAAGCAAGCACAGGACAGGAGAGCTGGAGGGACCGTGTGCTCTCACCAACCTGGGAGCACACTCAGCTCCTCTGATCGCTGATCAGAGGATTCCAGATGATCTCTGGAAGTCCCTTCCAGCCCATTCAGTTCTGTGATTGTGTGATACTACAAGGGCAAAGGGATTCACACGCTTGCTAGCTGTACTGTAGAAGCATATATTCTCTCTCCAGCGTACAATGAAATGAAGCAACTTGGAAAATGAAGAAACTTTTAAGATGCAAGGGGAAAAGTATGCTTTGTAAGTTATTCTAGGTCATCCCTGGGAACAAGGCTTGCCTGTTCCCTGGATGCTGACTGCAATAAATGAATTCTTACATTGTGGAAGATCCCATTAGATGACATTACATATACATACATATGATACATTTTGGTTTCAAGTGCCAATCCATGGGTAGTCTCTAATTTATTGTATTTTAGCTTTGAAGTCCTTGCCTGCTCATACCAAGCCAATTTTCGGACCCTAAAGACATGCAAGAGTAAAAATACATTTTCTTTCAGTATCTTTGGCTTGGCTTATATCCTGGAACTAGCATATGTTTTTTATGAACTTTGTCTTTCCAGGGCCACATGGTTCTTCAGCAGTTAGTATCCGTCATGACAAGCAAGAGAACAAAATATTCTGAATCCTTTTAAATAGCTTTTGAACTTCTCTTTTTAAGCTTATCAAACCCTGCCATTAGCACATACCCTACTGATACATTTGCAAGAAGTCAACAGAAACTTAGTCCATCCAGAATACTCCCTAGGACAATATCACAACTCCCTGCTATCACATCAAAGCAGCACAGAGCCATTCAGGCTCCAACCTCCTCTTCTGAACACGGTCAGCATCCGACTCAGACCACGCTGCTCTACACTTTGTCCAGTTGTCCTGTGGGATCCCACTTGGGCACTTTAATTGATGAAATGATGGAAGCAGAATGAACATTTCTGATATTCTCTAAGTAGCCAGGTGATAAAACAGATAATATGCATGAGATCAGTGTAAATAAACTGGGTAGGTACTAATCCACACCTCACACTCAATGAGAACAGTTCTACTGAATTCCGACTCAAAGTGGAGAAGCAAGCCGAGCATGGAACAAAGCCTGCAGTAAGCATGAAGACCAACAGGAGCCATCACATATTGTCCTGTGCAAAACCATAGCACACCTGCTGACAGTGGCAGGCATCCCAACACCACATGCCACAGACATGCAAAAGATCCTAACATGAGCCAAACTGACAGCTACAGACTTCAGAGAAACATATAGCAGTGCCACATTTCTTATGGACCTCTTCCTCAAAAGCAGGCGTGTGACTCGACTTGTTTATGTTTATCAAACCACACACTTAGGTTCTGTTCTTGCATTAATTGTGCCCTGCTATGAATACTCTGATTTCTGCAAGGGGCAGCTCTGACATTTCTCCATGCTGTCTATACCAAGGCAGGCTCTGTCTGAATGGCTCTGGCCTTTCAGCCCAAGCACCTGTCCAGCACCAGACCCAAGTCATCTCCAAGGCACAGGCAGGTGCCCATAGCCTGCAAGGGACTCAGTACTCAGCACGCTGCACGCTCTGATGTATGCAGGCTTCTGCAACTCAGACTGCAAGAGCTGAAATGGAAGTCTCAAGGCTGCCAAAATAAATAGCTATTAAATGGATCCGAGATGGAAAATCACTAAGATAGAAAGAAGCAAGTCTTAAACCCACCTAAAATTCACTACTGACTCCATGAGCAATACCTCAATCAGAAGTGGCACATCACTGGCAAACACACAAAGCCTAATTGCACTCATTAGAAAGCCTTTGTAACTTCCCTTTATGAACTACTGTGCATCTGACAAGGAGTGCTGGCAGCTTCAGCTGCATTGTGCATGTCATCCAAAAGAAACCCTAAGGGGCTTGTGTAAAAGCCTGTGGGAAAAACAAGAAGAGAGACAGCACAGTGCTCAGAAGAACATGAAAACCTATACCAGCTGAAGAATGATCGCCTGAATTCAAGGGAGTTGCTCAAACACTCCAGCTACACATCCTGCATTTTTGTCATTTTATTGCAATTGCCCAGGGTGATTTATAGACACAGAGCCCCAAAGCAAACACCCCACTGCACTGCGAAACGCCGGCTGCTTTTGTTGGTCCACTTGCTCTGCACTCCACAGCCCTGTTCGGTTTCCAAAGAAAAATCCAGTGCTGTGCAGATCTTTATTGTGCATTAAGGAGTTCAGTACGTTCAGCTCTGAGCAGGCTAACGTTAAGTAACCTGGCTTCCTACCGATGAGAAAAGGCAGGTAGTGGGTATGAGCTGGGCAGGGCGAGCAGCATTTCCAACAGCAATCAGCCTGCAGCACGGGGCTGTGGGGAGAACTAGGAATCTGTGATGGCTGAAGCCATCCTGACCCTTTTCAGCCACTGATGGGAACCAGCGCTCTGCATCCAGCACTGATGCTTGAAAGGCAACAAGGACCAAAAGGAGGGCTTCCCAGCCTGGAGAAGATGTCTGCTCATTACTGTCTTGACGAGGGAATTCTTTGGGTGACTTGGTTAGATAGATGCTAATGACACACATCCTGAAGGTGTGCAGACTTGGAGCTTTTCCTTTCTGAAACGTTCCAGGGGTCATTGTTAAACTGGAAGCCCCAAGAAACAGCCAACAAAGGCAGGAAATTATGCTGCTTTTCTGAGCACTGGAAAATGACTGTGCTGACTTACCACACAGCTACACATGTAATAGTTTGCAATCTATACAAAGCCCTCCTTAAATCCAATGTAGTCAAAGCGATCTGCTTCAAAAACTAACAGTCAAGTGTTGTTTGTAAGCATAAAATCAAGCTCAGAAAACTCTGATCTCATTACCAGAAAAAATACACCTGCAAACTACACAGTAGCTATTACATATTCCTATAACAACTATTCTCAGGCTAACATGAGCTTCTTGCTTTATGCTTAAGGCAGAGCCAGCTATTTGTTTGCTGTGAGCACAGTTTCTCATTGGTGCTGCCATTCCAGCTCAGTACCTTGCACAGAAAAGCTTTTTCTTCGAGTGTTACACAACTGCTCACTCCATCTACATAAGTCACATGCTTCATTAGTCAAATGAAACCTGGCTAGGTTTGCTGTACTCCTAAAGAATGTAAGGGTTATTTGCACAAGCAGCACCTGATTTGCAAGATTCTCACAAGGCAGCAGATATGTCTATCAGCTCAACCTCTAGTAAGTGATAGCGGTGCTTCCTTCAGCTTGCCTTCACTCGAGCTCCTGGAGCTCACCATGAATAACCACATGTTCCTCTGCATTGAAACAAGGGTGCCTGCAGGTGATGATGCTCGGAAGTCAGGGCAGCATGTCTACCTGATGTTCTCTGCATCTGAGCCAGGAGCCTAAGTACACCTTGCACCACTACTGTACTCATGTGACGATCAGCCCATGACTCACACAGGGATTGGTCAGCCCCCGTCCTGCCCAGCTCTTCACCTTACATGCAAATGACTTCTAAATATAAAGGTAAGGATTCCTTTCTAATAACCACAGGCCACAGCCATCCTTCAGACTCGGGGGGTCCATTATGGACATGTCTGACAGCTTCCCTCTGCTCCACAGGATGATGATGAGGGAGGAACCAGGAGAACAACATAAAATCAGCAACCCGCATCAGCAGCCCTGTGACTCCTCTATTATGGTTCCATGGAGACACAGGGCTGCTTTTAAACTTCACTTACAAAGCACAGAAGAAATTAAGTTGGCGTATCTGCTCTCACGTCAATCTGAAAAGCAAATAACTTTCATTTATAAACTTCATTTTTAAAAGGGCTCAAAAAACTCAAAGCACTGGGAAAAATTAGCTACTTGTGGGTGCCAGCCAGTGCCAACAATAGGCACCCCACTAGCACCCACTGCTGTGGAGGTGCTGTAAATTACACAGCACGTCCAAAATGAGACAATTCTCACAGACTGTTCCAAATCTTACAAACACACGCACAAGAAAAACAAGCAAGCAGAACTTTCTCCAAGCATCTATGATTATTACGTTTGAATTCAGTCAAAGGCACATGCAACAGAAACCTGTAGGAAGCAACTTAAAGAACACAGCATTGCTCAGCAGCTCGCTACGTGGCCAAGAGCTTCACTGCACACGGTAAGCTTCACACAGCTGTGTGACATGGGCTGTAACACAGACCGCAAAGATATTGTCCTGCAAGAGGTAATAAAACCAAACCCACTGTGGTTTAAACTGGGGCAGGCACGTTCAGGGCAAGCACACCCAAGGGGGGACACAGCTTATTAAGCACTGTGAAAGCCAATTAAAGGCTGAGCAGCCCACGAAGGCTTAAACGAGCACAGGTGCTGCCCGGCTGCGATTTGGATCGTAAGAGCCGCAGCCCCCCCCCCCCCCCCCCCCACCGCCGTACCAGTTTCTGAGCCTCTGGGCTCAGGCAGTCCGCTTCCATCGGCATGGCTGCAGTTGGGTCTTCGCATGAAAGAAGCGAAAAGCCCCACGCGGCTCGGCGGAGCAGAGCGGCAGCTCTTGCTGGTAAAGCAGCGCTGCGTCCCGCGGGGAACAACGCGCTGCCGGCACTTCCCGGAGCCGAAGTCCGAGCGCTGCTCCGTGCCCGGGGGCTGGCGGTGCTCGCTGTGAGTCAGCAGCGCCCGCAGGCAGCGATGTCACAGCTACACGAGCTTTGTGCTTCCTCGGCGGTTATCAGCACGCTGGCTGCTGCTTCTATTGATTGCTACTCACGCTGGTTTCGGTTTTTTTTGTTTTGTTTTGGTGAAGAGGCTTATGTACATAGCGTACTTCCCTTAAGCAGTTTATGTAGAGAAAGCAATTGGGAGAACGGTTAGGGAGCTTACAGCTTCCTCGATATGCTGGAGGGAGATAAACAGCAGCAACAAGCACAACCATCCGCTTAGCCTGTGGCCACCCTCTGGGCTGCACAGCCGAGCTGCACCTCCGAGCACAATGAATGTAACAAGCAGAAGCTCTCGAACGGCTGCTTACATACAGACATCCACACCACCAGCCTTCGCATCTCAGAAATAAACTACTCTACTGTAGCTAATTTGTTGCAATTTTATCAATACGCTGCGTTGGCTTGGGTAGAGCTGAGCTCAGGACACTGGTGTAAGCCGCACAGAATCATAGAACGGCCTGGGTTGAAAAGGACCACAATGATCATCATCGAGTTTCAAGCCCCCCTGCAGACCAGGCCGCCTTGAGCCACATCCAGCCCTCCTGATTTTGCCTGAGAAGCAGAGGTGAGGGCAGGGAGGAAACCACCAAGGTATGAAGAAAAGCCTGGGCAGCTCCTTTTACCCAAAGAGGTTTTGCAGCAGTAACAATAGCAGGCGCTAAGTCATCTCTTCCTGGCACACGCTGTGGGGCTGCTGACAAGCAAAACAGGGCCCTCCCTTAGCAACCAAACCTTGCTCTCTTTTTCCTGGTCACCAGCAACCAAACCCTGCTCTTACTTTCCTGGTCACTGACAAAGGTTGGGATCTCATGCAGTCTCCGCCCAGCACCTGAGCTCAATTTTTCCATGAGCTGCCCGCCCGGCACAAAGAGCCCAGCTTTCATGCTGGCAGAGCAGCCTGTTCCCGTATTTTCCATGCTGCTGACAATGTCTTCGCTAATTTGGAAGCGCTGGCACTGCTCTGCATTCAGAAGGCAACCAATTGGCTGCTTTTGCCAACTGTTGCAGGACTCAAACAAGTGCCGTTGCTCCTGGACAGGTGAGACAGACACACTGCTCTTCCATCACAGGCACTTGGGAGGGAGCTCCAGTCTGCTACGTTCCCCTCACACTCTGGCATTCTCTGCTCTTGCTGACAGAAATTTCACGGGATTGAAAGAACAACAAACATTCCAGGTCCTCACACAACTTATAAGGCCCAGCAGATTGCCTTGCTCTATGGCTGCAGTCTGGCATCACCCAGTGGTTATCCCGCAGTGCTCAGCTTGGTGCTGCAAAGCACTGCAGAAACCCCCAAAACCAAAACTAGCTGGGAAGTGCACTCCTGGGTAATGGCAGCTCGCCCTGAGGTGGGACGTGAGCCAGTCTCTGAAGTTGATTCTTCAGGAAAAACATCTTTCCTTACACAGGAAAGCATGGTAACTCAGCATGAAGAAGTATGCTGAAAATAGGTGATTTGCTACGGCCTTCATGATCAATAGGATTTCACCTCCCCTCTAATTTACTGGCAAAGCTGTACAGGTTTTTGTCCTGTGTATCACTAAGGTACACTGAAAACGTGAATATTTCCTATATAAGGTCTTACATTACTGAGAATCTCCCCCCGCACACACACCTTTTTTCAATTGCTTCCAAAACCAATAATAGAACCCAAGATGTTTGCTGTCACTTGGCTTACTTGAGAAAGCACTTCATACCTCAGGGTAAGTCAAAACACACAGCGTGCCGCAGACTTCCAGGATTAGGAGGTCTTTTTAATACTCGTGAATTTCCTTTTTTTTTTTCCCCTCTGTAATACACAGCTGACAGCATTCAAGATGTGCACTTGGACGTGTCTGACTCGATTCTACACGGAGCAAGGCACGTTCTGCCTAGGTTTGCAAGCTGGTGCTGCTGGATTTCCCAGGAAGGGGAACCGCTACAAACATGCTCTCCTCCTCACCTCTCCTTCCTCTGGTGCTCTCTGGGGTTCTCCAGGCACTGAAATGAGAAGCAAGCACACATGATGCTGTAACTACATCAGCTGAGACACAAGCTACACAGCCAATGCTGCATCTTACTTGATCGCTCGCCAAAGCCATTCGGCACCACTAAGCTGACAGAGAACAAGTGCTGTGAAACCCAGGGGAGCCCTCCAACACAGGTCACACCCAACTGATGTCTTCAGGGCATGTTGCACCAGTTAGCTACTAGAGGTACACAGAAGCAGAGCTTCAAGTTGGAATGAAAAGGCCAAACCCTTGGCAGACAAATAGAAGCACTGAGAAAACCTGCAACATGCAGCCCGATGGCTCCAGTTTGGACCACCCCAATATTAGCTCTTAACAGCCACGGTGCAATGCTGTCCATCACCTCCATCTGCAACTTAACTGACTGCATTTCTATCTTAAAAAAAAAAAAAAAAAAAAAAGATTGAATGTTTATTCCCTTTATCTTCAAGTATTTTAGAATGCTAGCATTGTATTTATTACTGGCATTCCTGACAGCGAGAAGGGAAAATGCAAACCGCAAGTTATGGATGAAAAAGCTGGCAAGCACATCATAACAGAAGAAAAATGCAGCTACTCAAGGGTGGTTTTTTTCCTCCTTCAGCTCATAATCTTGTTCTAATTTCAAGAATGTCTATAAAAACCTACGGAGTAACACCCCACTGAAGTCATGAAGACAGAAGAAACTACGTATGCATCTCACTTTGTCGTGACTGCCTGCTGTGGGCATCCTGGCACCCTCACAGCTCTGCTGGCAGACTTAACAAAACCTCCTTGTAAACCGTCACCAAGGCAATGAACTCAAGTGTACACAACTAAATGCTTCTTAGGAAAACAATGTCCAGTTTTCATCACCAAAATGTACTGCCAGTATCAACAGATGACTTTTGATTGAGGCTAGATGGCGACACGGCGAGGAGGAGGAAGGAAACTGCTTACAACTAAATATGATCATGGTTTCACCCTACGACCTTCAAATTCACTACAAAGAAATAAAACAGCATGCCAATTTGGATATACAATGATCATTCCTTTACCTTAAGTACCTTTGCAAACATGGAAGACTCACGTTGTCAAACACCTTCGCAGAACAACCGACTTGGGGAAGCGTCCAATTTTCCAACACTTAAGGATAACTACAGAGGCAAACCGACCTCTTGTGATGCCCAGCTGCAACCTAAGCATCTTTTCCTGAATTACTAATTCATACCATGTTATCCTGCAAGACCAAAGGTTTGCTAGGAGGTTAAATTATGTTTTCTCATGGCAAGCTCTTCTTGCAGGAGTATCCCCAGAGTGAGTTCTTATTTTGTTCCTCAGAATTCCAGAACTCTGTTTTTCTCTGTTAACTTCCAAGTGCCAGGAGAAGGTTCAGGCAGACATTCCCCTTTGACATGTTGATGGTGCAAGCACGAGTTATCTCTGTTTAACGGGTCAGCATTCTTGCTCTTCATGCTTAACATTTTAAGCCAAAGACCAAGAAGAGAAGGAGGGCAAGAAACCCACAGCTAATGAGGAATTTACATACGAACAGCATCAACTTGAGAAACATTTGCTTATGCGTTTGCCAGAAAACCCATCTCAGAGATAACTCAAGCATGTGACCAGAAGCTGGGAAGTCTTGTTGACAAGAATCCTTTCCCCATAAATGAAGGAAATGTTTACTTTGCAGAGTGCTGCACTGAACACTGTGTACAGCTCTACAACATAAGAGACAATTAAGGAGTTGTGTCTTACTTCATAAATTGTATTGCCATGCAGTCACAAAGGGCTGCTGCTAAAAATACAGTCTAAACACTAACTGGACTCCATCACAAGATTGCATGGACTGCCAAAGCACATCTTACCACAAGGAATCGATCTCACCACACCTGTAAAAGAGGGGTGCCATGCAACAACTGCCACAGACCCTAGCTGCGCTTGAGAGGCATTTATTCCCTTTGCAAACCTTTTGCTTTTTTAAAAAGAAAACAAGTAGTGATAGTGTGAAACTCATGCATTACTCAGAAAGCTGATAGTCTCTTTTCTCTCCTACCTGTTAGTGTAGTTCATGCACGCTAACAAAAACGAGCTTGCAGAGCAGTTCCACAGGGGCAGGCAGCTGGAGTGGTCTCTGGCACAATGCTGGGCCTGCTGTGTGTCCCAGGCCGCTGGCTCACTGCAGCTGGTTCTTGCTATAAGCAGGGCTCTGCTTTAAGGCACTCTGGACTAGTGGGAGGAGGGAAAGTGCTGGAAGCACCTCCTTCAATCTAAACAAACCCCCTCCACGTGAAAACGCTGCAGAGTTCAAAGTGGCTTCAGAAGAAAATGAGCGTGACAACTGATGAGTTCTGCAGGCCTTCCCATTAAAAATAAAAAGGAAAAAAGAACAACACTTCCGTGTAAGTATTGTAGCAAAAGAGCCTGAAGAATGGGAAGATGATTGGTGACAATCGGAAAGCGATCCTAAACTGGTTGGTTTGTATATAGAGGGCATACCACTTTCATGGCTGTTTGGCAATAAATGCCTCATCCCATTTTTGTACTCGGATACAGCACAGCAGGGAGGCAAGAACAATCCCTGCACAGAGGCCGTGGGCAGCTCTGCAGGAGCGTGTTGCAGCTTCCAACCCTTTTCTGTACCACTTTTCTGTAGGTGCTGTACCTACCTGGCAGAGGACCAACACGGTATCAGCATTTCAGTCACATCTTCAGTTACCATTCCTGATCAGCTCTGGTCAGTGAGTGACTGCTCCCATCAGGGAAGCATTTGGATGCCACTCTATAGCTGTTTTCTCAAGGAATAAAGCCATGAGCTTCATACAGCCTATACAAGACTATTCACGTACTTGAGCTCAAGACTATTATTCATGTAAAGTAGTTTCAAGAGAGTCAACACTGACCTTGGAAACAGCTGGATCATTCAGTCAGATAAGCAAATCACAATTGTTGGGTCTAAAATGACATCCAGT